AAAAAAAAAAAAAAAAAAAAATCTTTGTTACTATCTTTATGTTCATGTGAAACTTTACCTTCAGTGTTCTTTTTAAGTACAGGGTAGTGAGAGCAAAAGCTAACTGTTCGATTCACCATTTTTGCTAACATAGTCTATAAAAAAAAGTGTGTGAAATCTTGCAAAAGACATATGCTTCATCTATTCCTGTGACTAATTCTCTTGGAACTAAACAGAATATTTAGAATGCCTGGTCATGTTGGAGTGGCTACACCAAGGACTCCTGCATATGTCCCCTTATCATGGATCAACATTTCACTCACCATCTCGGTCCTCATCGTGGACACTGAGGTAGAGATACTCTAGGCCTCTTCCTTTTTTGCCATGCTCAGCTCCTTGTAGTTTAGTCATGAGAGTTGTTTTACCAGAACCATCTTCACCTACAAATGATGTTAGCAAGACAAAGGTGAACTGTTTATTCTGGGCAAGGATGGGGAGTCATTCCCATGACAAGGAACAACTAAGAACTTCATGCAAACCCTCACCTGCTTTCATAAACGAAACAGACATTGCTGCTCCAATTGCAAAGTCATTGGAGATGTGGGGAGGAGGGGGATAGTAAAGGCAGCAAATTCCAAGATCTAAAATGAGACTCTACTACAGGTACCCTTACTTCACAAGGGAGGAATAGGCTGGTCCACAGGCCCTATCTATAATTTACCTGACATGTTTGAAAAAGTGACAGCAAAAGACGGGGTTAGTGTCTCACAAAATAAACTTTTCCCACAAGAAAAGCAAGAAATCTTCAAAATACAGCACAACTAATCTCAAGTCCAGGAACTGTGAACTAAAAAACTCTGATCTTGCCCCATTATCATAAAGAAGTTATTCATTTTTTATTTTAGAACATCTCCTTCATGTAGCATTCTGAAGGCTAAAGAAAATAATTACAGACTTAAGCAAAACTCTTAACTTCCATCTCAGTAATTATCAAGTTCTTCCTCATCTCCTGCCACCCAATTAACACTGCCCAACCAAAGCCCTAAACATCAAGGAGAACCACTACCAAAAAACATCACTAAGCACTGCGGACATTTAATAACACAAAATTACAGAACAGGAGAACTTAAAGACAGTCCATAGATCAAAGACTTCCTCTCCATCCTCAATGCCACTACCTTATTCAGGTCCTCGGGATCCCATCTGGACCATGGTGAGCACCACTCAGCCTGACTTTAGTGTTTGCCTTGAGTTACTTGCCAGTTGTGAATCTAAAACATGGATCTGGTGATCTTGATCCCTCACTTCTCGCTGCTCCCTAAGCCTTCCCTATTGCCTACTGCAGTGTTCATCGCTTGAGAAAAACCATATATTATCTCTGGAAACAGTTAAGAAAACCTACAAGGCGGCGATTCCCACAAGGATTAGGGGATGGAGGTGAGCCTTCGAGAATCAGAGCCTTCAGGAAAAAGCATTAACTCCTCAGCAGTGTGATGCTCCCACAATAATCCATCCATGCCTGGCATGGCGTGGTGCAATCACCGCCGCTCTGTCTCCCACTAGACTGAGATTCTTGTGTAGTGTCTAAGAGATGTCCGTCCTACCCCACTGTCCAGTCCAAAAAATGGGTTTGCTCTGTGAATATACAAAAATTCCCTCACTTGTATGAGTGGAAACTGAGGACTGAGACATTAGCGAACCTGACTAAGGTACCCGGCAGTAAGAGTTGGAGCAATGCAGGAAAAGTACCCGATGCTGACTCCCAGGCCTGCTATTCTTTGGCAAAGTCCCTAAAACCTCTGTAAAACCCTCATGAGAATCAAGGAAGGCTCTCGTGGCTTTTCCCCACAACTTCGAGCCCAGGTCACCTCATTCTCCCGCCTTCACCCAACCTTCTCATCCCTTCGCTCCCCTCTCTGAGAACTCAATTTGGTAACTGTCGAAACTTACGGGCGCACGGAGTCAGGGACACTGGAAGCAAGGAAGATGTTGCGGTCAACTGAATGAACGAATGTGCCCACAACCACACGCACCATCCCACCTCAGACTCCCCAGCCAGGGCCTACTCCCAGGCAGAGCTGGCTGCGTGCGGGCAGGCTGCAGGAAAGGGGAAGGTTGGGACCTGAGGGGGGTAGGAGGCGCGCCTCGCCCACCCCAGCGCCCTGGGGAAACGCGGCGCCGTCCGCGCTCACCGAAAACCAGGATGTTCTTGCCGGACGGCAGCTTCGACCTGGCACGAGTGGACACTTCGCTCAGGATCGAGGACCTGCGCGACAATGGCAAGGGCGGTCAGCCCCGGGGCCAGCCTAGGATAGCCCGACCCGCGACGGCCAGTCAGTCGGTCGGACAGTCCGGCCCAGCGCAACCAGTTCCCCGCCCGATTGTGCCCTCCCCGGCCCGGTCTGGGCGCCCACGGCCTCACCATAGGCTCTGGCCTTCCTCTTCCTCACTGGTCAGGTCACCGGCGGCCGCTACCGCAGGCCCATTGGGGCCCAGCAGCAGTTTCTTTTCCACCCCCACCGGCGCCATCTTGCCAACTGCAGCCACAAAGAGGGTCCTCCCCCGGGCCCGCCGAGGACCCGCTAGGACCCCGGCAGGCCCGCCCGTCTGCCTTCCCCCGCGGCGCGACTCCCGCCGCCCACACCTCAAAGTTCGTGCCACCCAACAAGTCTTTCCAGGCTGGCGATATCCAAGGCTCCTATAGGTCGTGAAGGTGGCGGACAGTGGTCAGGCGGCCGTCAGGCGGCCGCCGGGGCAGCCATGGGCGGGGAGGCGGGCACCGCCCAGACCGATGGTGCACTGGCGGCCTCTGGCGGCCGAGGGGCGCACCACAGTCATCCGCTCGCTGTCCCCAGGATGCCGCTCCCCTTAACATGGTAGATAAACAGCCTTAAGAATTGAAGCGGAAAGTTCAGGTTTTGAAATGAAGATTGATCCAGGGACGCACATCTCTCTGAATCTTAACTAACGCTTTTACAGATGAGGAACCTGAAACTCAGAAAATTTAAGAAACCACCCCAATGACCCAATGCTAGAAAATAACATTGTTATTCTGTACTTTTTGAGAGAGCTACTCTTTCCCTCTGTTGCCCTGACCACAGTGCAGTTGGCACCATCATAGCTCACTGCAGCCTCAAACTCCTAAGTCAAGCGATCCTCCTGCCTCAACTTCCCAAGTAGCTGGGACTACAGGCACCCACAACGCCAGGCTAATTTTTTTTTTTAAGAGATGGGGGGGGGGATCTTTGTTGCCCAGCTGGTCTGGAACTCCTGGGCTCAAGCGATTCTCCTACCCTAGCCTCCCAAAGTACTGGGATTACAAGCACGAGCCACTGCATCCTATGCTTCTAATCTTTTTTTTTTTTTTGAGACAGAGCCTCAAGCTGTCCCCCTGGGCAGAGTGCCGTGGCATTACAGCTCACAGCAACCTC